TCATAGTGCCATAATGTTTCTTCCAAGTTTAGTAACTGCTCAAAGAAACAAACCTTTGCCATTGTAACTATGGCTGGTCCAATTATCTAACTCCATAGATTAACAGTGCATGAACTTATCTTTTATGTATTTAAAATTTAAAAATGTGAAGAAAGCTCTGCTGATGTGTTCTAACACACATCCCACTACAAGTTTCCCTTCCTTTATGCTGTACATGCGTTCCTGGAAAACGGCGCATAACTTGGATTCGCATAAGGGGAACCGACTTTACAATGTAATAAATAGGGATACGTTCCAAGACCTTGACTGTACTGACCCCCAGACACATTTCTACCACTTTTACAAGACAATTTTGGTACTCACCGGCAGCAGGCAGTACACACAAGCACAGGGCACTATCATAATGGGCATGGCAACTACAGAAACACGTCGCAGACAACAAGCGAGGAGCACAGATACACACAGGAGACTATATTTTGGTGCGCATCACTCCCACAATGCACTGCACAAAGCAGCTGACTGTGGGATTCCACCACACGGATCACATAAGAGTGAATTCATCTCACATATAATGAATTTTTGGTATAAAAACGGTTGTTGCATAAGAGTGAATTCTCACATACAGAACCCACATAAAGCCAGGGAAACCTATACCTAACATGATATAAAAAATGTGATCCATGCTGCTACTGAGTTTTTTCCATTCAATCAAGAATCTGAGAAGGTGGGTGTCACATGTTCAACCTACTAAGTGTAGTTAAAATGTGAGTAGACACACACTCAAGCAGTTTAGCATGTGGTAAGTGTTGTCACGCAATTGCCAGGTTGTTCTCTTTCAGGTGAGGTTATCTTCTAAGAGGTGCCATCTTTAATAGGTCACTACATTCCAAGAATTTGTAACTGTTCCAAGTAAACATGTGATACCACAGAAAGGCTTAGGGTGAAGTTACATGTCACACTTAGAGCATACTAAGGGCACTTAATACTTGAGGGTCCACATGTTAAAGCTCAATAGCTTGTGCTAAGTGCCCTCTGAGCCCATCTATAGAGTGTGGCGAGGCTGCTCTGACATGCTGGAATTACAATACACTGGAGCAGACTTGATTACTGGAGTGCCCCTGGGGGGCTCCAGTACACCTGCCCCACCCTCCAGCAAGGGCTGAACCCCCCCCAGACCAACCCCCCCCTGCTGCCTTCCCAAGTCTGAAAGCATTGGGAGGCAATGCAGTGCAGCGCAGCGCAGACAGAAGTTACATCAGACATTGTTTTGAAACTTCATCTGACCCCTCATGCACCACGTTTGAAGCTGTCTGCAGCCCTGAACTTGTGTTTGGTCAGCAATAAACCACTTCCTATGGCAAAATTGGGTAAAAATTGTTGCTTCTGCACCCCAAATGTTAATTGCTCACAGCACTGACTTTTAACAACCCCTAAGGTACCAGATTTAGCCTAAAATAACCACCCTCAGCAGTAGCGGGAGAGGACACGTACATGTTCCCAGGGGCAAGCGTTTGAAGGAATCACAATGACTGTGGTCAATGTTTTCTTCTTTCAACACCGGGCCTGGGTCGCCACCCAGGTCAGAAGAGCGGCCCCCGCCGCTCAGCACCGCAGCGGGCAGGGAAGCCACGAGCCCGAGGCCCCTGGCGCCCTGCCGAGAACGGGACTGCCGGTGGGGCGGCAGGTGCGCGCGCAGCCCCGGCCACCAGGCGGCGCCTCAGCGGAACTGGGCCCGCGTTGCCTCCATGGGGCATTGTCGGCGCAATAAGCCGTGGCCCCGCCCCCGCGAGGGGCCCTAGCAGCAGCCCTGGCCTGGGCAGTAACGTAGTGACACGTGCCCCCGCCCCGCTTCGCCCCGCCTTCCTGGCACATAACGTGGCGGCCGAGCCGCGCTTCCCGGAAGTGACGCGACCCCAAGGACCCTCGCGGCTGCCGGAATTTCCGGTCTGTTTGAAAGTGCCGTTTCCCGCCGCCCCGGGGTCGCGGCGCGATG